ATTCCCAGCACCCACACGGCAGCTAACAACCTTCTGTAGCTCCAGTTCCAGGGAATCCGACCCCTTCTTCTGACTTCCGTGGGCATTGCACAACATGGGTGCACTTACATGCATACAGGCAACACACTCATAACGTAAAATAAAAATAATAAACAAAATATTTTTTAAAAGAAGAGGAATGAGCCCAGGACTGGTGGCTGAGGACCTTGTGCGTACCCAGTGGTCGCCGCCATGATGCAGCCACCTCGCTCGGCTACCTCCTCGCAGCAGCCTTCCGGGTCGTGGCTAAGGCCCAAGCTATGGCCTATCTCGTGAGCCATGGTGGCCGCTGCACCGATGGGGAGTTCCGAGTGGTCCTGGGGTAGGGGGTCGTCACCGAGGGCCACAAGTCCTGCCGCAGCCCTCCTCCTCCTAGGTCCCCAGCGGAGCTTACCGAACTCACACCTCCGGAGCTCTCCGCACAGCACATGCCCTCCACAGGCGCCAGGCCCACGGTGGTGCCTTGGAAGGTGCAGCCTCTAAGGGCGGAGTGCGGTGTGACTGAGCGCGCTGGGAGTAAGAGCCACCCGCGACCCATGGGCGATCAAAGGGGCACCCACGTGAGCAGCTGTGTGGAGTCGTGTGGCTGCCGCGCCCACAGCCCACGGCGCCACTGCAGGAAACCCCGGAGTGTGGCGTTCGCGTCCTCTGTGATGCGACTGCGGTCCTGTTCCGTCCACACTTCCAGGCCGGTCAACACCACTTGTATGTCCAGAGTCCTAAGAATCTGAGGAAGAGATGGCCTGAGGCCCGGAACCAGCAGCCCACTGTGCATTTGCCAGTGTTTCTCGATAGACACGCCCCATCCTTCTGCTTCCTAACTCTCCCAACCTGGTCCACACAATTGACGACTTCCAGGAGACGCTGTTTGGTTTGGTTCAAGTTCTGGTTCTGGATCAAAAACTGGGAAAGCAGAAATCCCAGGGCCATAAGAAGCTGATCTGGCTCCCCTGCAGCCCGAGCTAGCCCCCTTGGGTCTCTTCTCACCAGGGTGTGGTCAGCCACTATGTACAGCTCCAGGTACCTGGGGTTCCTGCGGGCCTCTCGCCTCACCTGTGAGTGGCAAATGGTGAGGGGAAGGCACCTGGGCTTGAGTCCTGACCACCAGCCCCAATTCCCAGACAGAGCAGTTAAATTTTTGCTCAAACTTGCTTCTTGGGCCTCAGTTAAAATATCAAGACAGGTGGGCAGGTCTAGGACCTGCATTCCTGTGACCTGATTTGGAGGACCATGGGTACTGTATGCCCACTCCCATCCTTGGCTGTGCCCCTGACCCTGCTCTGGGGGGCATGAGGAAGACTGGCCATGCCCACTTTGTCCCCCAAGTCCTTGTCACCACAGGTCCCTTTCCAGGTAAGCAGCTGCTCCATCCGGAAGATCTTGTGGGTTGCAAAGTCCTCGGTGTCCCCAGGAGGCCGGGGATAAAGATAGTAGCTGACATTGCTGGTGAGCACAATCAGGCCACTAGAGTGCAAAAGAATGCAGAGGTGTGTGTGAAAGAGCTCTTACCTCTGCACCAGATCCAGGTCCCTCCCCCCAAACGTCTCACCTCATCCCAGAACAGGTGCTGAGGACTACCCAGGAGTCTTGGAAGCCCCTCACACGCCCATGATAGTGGCAGTGATCCTAGAGAGGAAGAGACTCAGTCCCAAATTTCAGGCAGGGCTGAAGTTGAAGGGGTAAGGACCATGGAGAGGGAGGCCTAGGGGCTGGCTCCAACCTCCTCAGGAATGCAAAGTGGAGAGGAGCAGGAATTTAGGGCTGCATCCCCAGCACCCAATACCCTGTCCTCAGAGCCCATAGCAGCATCTCACCATGTGG